CCGACACTCTACTAGCTATAATTGATTGACAAACATGTTTAAGCTACCCTTCCTAAATCTTCCTTAAAATAAAAAAGATTAACAGATTGGAATACATATTAGTAACCCATGATCAAAAAAAGCGGCGTCCAGAGCTTCGGCTTTGGATAATGCACTCCGTGAGTCATGTTCCCTCGAGTTACGTAACACCTCTTACCCCGTTTAAAGTGACAGCGATCTTCATTTCATAGCCATCGTCTGACTCCGCCGTCTACATAGCTTTTTCTTACTATCTTCATATAAAGTATTATTAGAAAAGCTCACTAGATTTTTTTCTAGCTAAATAAAAAGGAACTCTATTCTATGGTTCACAACAGTGACATCTCCTTTTGCTCTCTCTAAATTCAAGGTAGGTTTTAAAAAAAACTACAATAGGTAAATAAACAGTTCCTAAACAAATAACATCTATCCAAAGATTCTAATTTATTTCCATACAATAATGTGTAGTTTGTAATTAAAGTAAATTAGTATTAAAAAACGGATGTAGCTCACTCACACTTTAAACATCATTCACTGGTTTTTACCAATAATCGACCAAGTACATCAAACAATATCTATCGCTATACTGGTTTCATAGTAATCAAATCAGAATTTTCCCTTACACGTTAGTTTCTTTATTGATAAAAAGCAAAACAAGTATAAAAATTAAAAGCTGCAATTTTATTTAAAATATGTATTCTAACACCCCATAATTTTTTAAACTAAAAAAAAAAAAAAAAAAAAAAAAAAAAATACTAAAGTTATTTTTTTTTCCTAGGAAAAAATAAAACTTCATAAACTTAATTCACTAAATAAATTTATTTCTATTACATAGATTTTGTAGAGAATTAAATAAAAATAATTATTACAGTTTTATTTCACTAATATTTTCTAATACTGCTTCGGTGCAGTTCCCCATTGCTATCTGTGAGTTCATTTAAATTATGACGACATTACTGATCTAGAAGATAGAAATGTACCTAAGTACCTTATATTATAATCAAAAATGACTAATTTTGTAAATGATTACCTATAACGGTTAGATGACTGTTTGAAATCTGTAAACTTCTTTTACGTTGGTTTCTTGAAAAAAAAAAAAAACAATTTAGGTGATATTAATTATCTTCGCATCATCATGGGCTCTAATCAACTGTATAGCAGTATCGAGTCCTATATCAACACTATATGCTAAATATAACGACAATATTTACTTTACACTTGGTATAATTTAGCGAGCGATTTTAAAGAGAGAATTACTTATCACTTACCTCCTCATTAGAAATTTCAGTTGGTCTTAAAATTTAAATCGTAAATGCATAGAACAATATAATTACCTAACTACATCTCTCTATATCCTTACACATTTTATGCATAGGTAATAATTCATCAATATACCATGTGTTTGTCATGCAAAATTGTCTCTCGGTGCAGCTTTTGTTCTTTATGAAAATCATTTATATTACCCTTAGTGAAATATATTTAAAAGAGCTGTACCTGAATGTACCCAAATTACGTTTATCACGAGTGGTTTCAAGTCTTCTCTTGGTTGTTCTAAAAGCTGTTTGATTTTTGCTTAGCTTATAATTGTATTCCCTATATTTTAATTAAACAAACTTCAAAATAAGTTTATAATTAAACCTTCATCAGCCTTCATATCATTAAATTATTCATGAATCACTTTATCATTAGTCAGTCTTATGAGTTATTTGTTCATTTGTTGCTCTGTTCAGAGCTCTGTTTGTTCTTGTTTGTTTTCAAAGATCATTTTTGAGGTTAATGTCATATGAAACTTTCGTAATATAATTTGTACAATAAAAAGTAATACAGAAAATAAATTAAAAAATAATAATTGAACGATTAAGTTAAATATTTATATATTTAATTTAACAAAAAAAAAAAAAAAAAATAAATTACATAAGTTTTTAAAAGAAAAAAAAAAAATTTAATTTTATATTATTTTCATAAATGAATTGAAATATATTTCGAATATTAACGTTTGGCAACCACGCAACTGAAGTGCAAGCGACATCTGTGCAAGAGAAGCAAAACCTCCCAAAAAAGTGAGAAAAGATATCTAAAAATTTCAGATTATTCAAATGTCACTCCAATATTTTTCCAAATTGGAGTGAAATTAGGGTGACAATTTTTAACACGTAAGGAGCCATCTGGATTATGTGTTATCTGTGTTTTTATTGTCACTGATGAGTTTACGTTTGATGGCTTTTTAAAATAAAAATATACAGCCATAGTCCAGTAAATAAGGACATGAAAAGACTCAAGTCTCGGCGTAAAAAATGGCCGATCAGTTTTTCGCAAATATCTGCCAAAATATGCAATTTACAAAATTTTTCCTGGAGTAAAAAAAAGCTAGAAGCTAAAATAAGCTATTGTGATTATTAGTGAAAATATGAATAAGTTTATAAAAATCTGCAAATTTTTGGGATTGGAATCTGTGCCCGGTTTTTTATTTTCATTTATCATAAAATATGACAAAATTCAAACAAGTTGCAAAATGTGATAGCTGATGATTCTACCTTTTAAATGATTGTATTTGTAAATGAACTTTGAATCATCAAAAAATATTAAATTTTAGCCGGGTTATTGAACAATTTGAAATCTCCTAAGCGTTAAGACTTGGATAGAAAATTTAGGGATATTCGAGGCGGAATATCTCGAAAACTACTAATTATACGTAAAAAATTAATAATTATAAGGATCATTTTTGTAGTTAATTATCCAAGCTTCATTTTTTACTCCAAGAAAAATTTGTAAAATGCATATTTTGCCACATATTTAGGAAAAACCTCGGGAAAAACTGCCATTTCGGACCATTTTTTGGCTAAAGCTGGCTGAGCACGGCGTTACAATTTTTTCCCTAAAACTACCCAAAAGGTACACAGTCCGCCTGAAAAGTCCTGGTCGATGAATTAGGCCGTGGTTTCAACCTTTATTTACTGGCCTAACATGCCAAAAAATTCACGACAAATGGGAAAATATTTTATAATTTAGTTATTGAAATAACTGTTTTTACAGTTTTAGCATGTCTTATTTAATCATTAATCATAATTGTTGTGCGACATACTACAAAAATCTTCTAATAATATACAAAAATTGGGACAAAAAAAAATTAAATAGCCAAAAAAGTGCATGAGAAAAGTTTGAGTGAATAATTTGATTTTATTTTATTATACAGGGTGGTCCGAACTGTATTCCGGAAACTTCAGCAGCATATTCTGCACATAAAAATAAGTAAAAAAGTTCGTCTAAATAATGTATGTCTGAAAATGTTTAGTTTCGGAGATACAGGGTGTAGAAGTTTCATTTCTATTTCGATTTTTTTCAAATATTTTTTGAAGTAATGTCAATATTTGGATGAAAATTGGTGTCTAGGAGTTTTGACATGAGAAATTTGATTTTGATGTCAATATGACTCTTACTTATAGAGGGCGCCACCTACATATTTTTTAACTGGTTTGAAGAGTAATAACTTTTCGTCCGTACCTGTATAAAAGTACTGAGTAAAAAAATATACATTTACGACGTTTTTTAAGTAAAAAAAGTCTCTTGGTAAAAATTGCTACGAGTAATGGTTCTCGAGATATTTTGAATCGAAATTATCGATACCTGTCATCGCTGACATAAATTAAACATGTTGACTAAATAGTTATTAGACTGAAATCATAAATTTGAAATGTTTTTGTGCTAAAAGTTTAAGAAACTGTTTTATCATCATTTTTCGAAGAAAAATTGATGATTAATTAAAGCAACCAAAAGTTCCCAAATTTATCATTTCAGTCAAATAATTTATCTACCCAACACTTTTATTTTTTGTCAATAATGACATGTATTGACTATTTCCATTCTAAATATCTTGAGAACGGTTGCTCGCAGCGATTTTTACCAAAAGACATTTTTTACGTAGAAAATCACGGAAATGTATATTTTTTCACTCAGTAGTTTTATACAGGTAGGGACGAAAAGTTATTACTCTTCAAAACAGTTAGAACACATGTAAGTGGCGCCCCCTACAAATAGGAGTCATACTGATATCAGAATCAAATTTCTCATGTTAAAAAACTCCTAGTCACTAATTTTCATCCAAATATTTACGTTACTTCAAAAATTATTTGGAAAAAATCGAAATAAAAATGAAACTTCTACACCCTGTATCTCCGAAACTAAGCATTTTAGGACTTACATTTATACTAACTTTTTTACTTATTTTTATCTGCAGAATATGCTGCCGAAGTTTCCGGAATACAATTCGGACCGCCATGTATATATTTATCAAGTTTCATAAATATACAGAGACTTTAAAAACATAACACATTGTCAATTTATTTTCGAAAATAATAAGAAATAGTTTTTTTTTGTATGAATGACACAAGATAAAATGATACCAATAATAGATTTTTTAATTTATTGCTTATAAATTTAAAAAAATGTTAATTTTCAGTCTCAGAGTTATTAAAACACTGTAAGTAATATATTTGGGTAAAATAATTTTTTACCCAAATAAATTTTTGAATTTGCCGTCATGGCAGTTGTCACATAACACATGTCAATTTTCAAATAATGGTTCAACTTTTTTTTAAAACACTTGAACTTAAATATCAATTTTCCTGTATTACGAATAACAATTTTTACTTGATTTTTTTTTGAAAAGAGGGACAGCAAAAGAAATGTTGCCTAGGGTACCGATTTACTTTAACTCCTTGAGGTATGTTGGGACAAAATTTGAACCACAACGCGGCCCTGCTGGCTGGTATTTTTAATGACAATATATCTAGTAAATGAAAATCGTAAAGAATTACTTGCTTTGTAAAGGAACAAAGTTTATACATGTATTATGAAATTTTTAGATTTGGGTTGGGTGTTGGGTCAGGTTAGTAAGGCCTAAATAGGAATTTTAGCCATTCCTATTTAGGCAGGTTTACCAATTTTATCGTTCCGTTTGAATGTGTATGTGTATGTATTTTTAGGATTCCTGGTGGTGTTTGAAGTATACAGATATTTTTACTTTATTTAAAATTATACACTGTGTCCGAGATAAGTTGAAGTTAATTGGAATTTTTCGACGTCTCGTAAAAAAGTATGTATCAAAAATATAACGCGATTCAGTGTTAAAACCCTCGATCATAGATATTTTCAACAGAGTGGTCCATTTTTTAGTAGCAGAGCAACATGTCAATAATGTTTGTCTCCGAACAGGAATGCACTTGGTTGCTTGTATTTGCATATGACAATAATTATGGCATACGCATTCCTTTTAAGTTAGGCAACTGTCTCGATAAGCGCGTTTTGATTGTTTTGATTTCAACCTACTGTATGTTCGAAAAAAAAACGGCGTCCAGCAGGGGCGGATACAGGAATTTATTTTAGGAGGGGCCAAATAAAAAGTAATGCAGAATATGCTTTTTTAGCGCGCCATTTTTAACCTTAAAGCCTAATATTTATCCCAATCTATAGATTTTAGGGGGGGGGGGCTTGGCCCCATGTGCCTCCTCTCTGTATCCGCCACTGGCGTCCAGTTGTAAATGTAATGTAATAATTTTAAGTATAAAGTGAAAAACGATCTTTATTTCATAGCCATCGCTGACGCCTTTTTTTTTCGATCGTATTGTATTTGTTTGTCTTCTTCTCAGTTTCCCTTTTTTTTATTTAAATACGAATTTAATTGCTTTGAATTTCACATCAAATTTTCAGTTAGCTGCTGAATTGATCGGCCTGATCGGAATTTCAGGATTGCTTAACTTAGTATGGGGTAATGCGCATGACTAATCGCAGTCAAGTGCATGCCTGTCCGGAGATAAGGAGTGCTAAAAGTTGCGGCACACGTCAACAAGTTTAGTCATGCTACAAAAAAGTGGACGTCTCTGTATTTCTGTAGTAATAATTTTATGTTATTATTTATTAAATTATTTCATTATTGTCATTCACAAAGTGTATATGATTTAGGAAAGAAAAATCTAACCAAACTGGAAAACGATCACTGCTTACATAGAATAGAAGTTCCATTCATTTTCACATTCTAAATATTCGTTTTTGATACTACTTTCACTGCTTCCAAATGTTATTTTTAAGCCTTTATTATGATGTAATTTTCGTTGGATTTCACTGTATATAGTCGCTGCCAACCATAATTCAGAGTCCTATAACAAAAATTCCTGCAAGCCGACGGCACAAATACTGCCTGTCTCGTGCGGGTGCATATTATGTACTCTCGAGCATTTAGATAATATGTTGTAAAAACGTGTTATTAATTATTTAATAATATCTATTTCACAAGAGATCACTTTTCACTTAAAAACGACAGTAATACATATATCAGTCAACTGCTTAACTTATGCTCTTGTATTAATACAGTTTTGAATACAATGACTAAAGAATACAAGGACTAGTAACACCCGAGACCAAATTGTTTTCATACTTTCAGACAGTGCCATGGTACATATTTTTCTTAACTTAGCTGCTTTAAAAGAAATATTTATAAATAAGAAATATTTATATTTTTGATAAATGTTTATAAAATAACCTCTACAAAAAATAAACCACTCCATAAGCCCGTATATGGGTGTTACATCTCCCTTGTATTCTTTAGTCATTAGGTGGGCACCAGAGATATAGAAACCACTTCCATATCTCTGGTGGACACACACGAGAGGTATTTTTAAACGATCTGTCCTGCTGCTGGATCTGTCATCCCGCCGATCTGGTCTGCGAGGGGATATATCTTTCATTGCCCACTAACGTAAATAATATATCAAATCTCTCATTTTCTTAACGGATTAGTTGCAAATTCCCTCAAATTTTGAAGGGAGCGAACTGCGGGTTAGATATTTTATACTTGCATAAAATCTCTGCAGATATATATGGGCACATGTCATTACTTGAACTTTTGAATTTAAAAAATGAGAAGTTTTAAAAATTATCTGCGAATGAGTACTTCAAATTCTCGTTAAAATGTTTCCAAGCTCTTGATAAGCTTGCATCTTTACGTTTTTGTTTAAGTAATTTTGATCATATTTTATATAAACAGGGTCTTTGTCGATACATTTCAATTAATTCAGTCAAAGTTTCTTTTGTCCACTCCATATTTAAAAACACGTAATTAATGAAAAATATGAAAAACACGTAGGCAAAGGATCTCACTCCAGAGCGCGCACTGACCATAGAGAAAGTAATAAAAAGAGAGATACAGATCGCATAGTAAAAATTAGAACCGCATTCACTAGCGCTGCTGTGACAACAGGACAAACTAATTTAAAAATTTTTGGCGAATGCGCCGGGGAATTTAAATAAGCTGGTTTTACTTTGAATTTATTTGAAACTTTTATTGATGCATTTAACCATTCTATCGACGAAAGTTAAATCACAAAACATCCCCATTAATAAGTAAATTGACAAATTTAACTTTCGAAGATAAAATAGTAAAAATGCGTCAACAAAAGTTTCAATGAATACGAATCAATGAAGATTTAGGGAAAATAATAAAAATGCCATATTGCTTATTAATCATATAGTATATTAAAAAATAATTAAATGCTGTTCTAATAGCAAGATATTTTTTTCTACTAAATAATTCATTTATTTATGTTATTAATTACAACTATGTACTATATTAAATATCTAATAGTTTAATAGTATAAACTATTATACAATACTTTTCTACTCCTGACTATATAAGGCATAAACTTGGCAGCGATCGTGGTAATTACGTTAATACTGTTAATCTGTAGATATGAAAAGTATTAATTAAAATAAAAACATTATCATTAATAATCTAACCTCACATTTAATTTACCTTTTTTCGGTTGTTTTTATAGCTGCCCGGGAGACAAACAACAATTTAACCCAGAATTAAATGTACTTTTAATTACACCAAACTTACAAGCACAAATGTTGCAAAAATGCATTTAAAAATTGTTTTGTGCAATTTAATTTTCAATCACGTTTTCAATTATTTGCCAATCTGACAATGAGTGATGATAAATAATAATACTCGACGTCCTAATGATCTCACTCTTATTACTGCTTGTACAGCTGCTTTTAGAAGAAGATGGAAACAAAAACGTCAGTCGAAGCTCAATTTGTACAAAATTAGGGCATCTGAGTTGCGCGACAGGAAAACTGAAACGCTATACCAGTTGTCCTAATATAATCTGCCACTCTCTTTTTATTACTTTCTCTATGGCACTGACGTTTAAATATAAAACCTAAACGGAACAAATCTGTAACGAGAACACTCCAGAATTATTGCTGACGGCAACTATATATAATGAATCTGGCAACATTGCAAGATGTAAACAATAGCTTAACAGTACTCTAACAAAAATTGCATATGGTTTGTATCAGTACCCAGATGTGTCACCTTTATCGGAGAGGATACACCATTTAGATGTTAGTAACGATCAAATCGTATGGTGGCGCCACCGTAGCGGCAGTACTCGACTACCATACCTTCGACATTCTCAACATACGCAGACCGGGCAACGACATCAGGGACAACAGTGTTGTCAATACTTAAACCAATTAGACCGGCCAGCAAGGATGGCTGTCGAAGCAGCCAAGTACCAGGTATCTAATATACACCAAAACGCTTTGGACGCGTGTTTCATTTGAATACGTCTCTTTTATTTTGTAGATTAATAGGGTATTCAACGACGATGAGGCACCCATTAACAAAAAACTCCCAAAAGAGCTCCTGTTGCGCATTTTCTCCTACCTAGACGTGGTATCTCTATGTCGTTGCGCTCAAGTGTCCAAAGCTTGGAACGTCCTGGCACTGGACGGTTCGAACTGGCAAAAGATCGATCTTTTCGATTTCCAGAAAGACGTGGAGGGACCCGTTATCGAGAATATATCGCGCAGGTGCGGTGGATTCTTGCGAAAACTCTCTTTGAGAGGTTGCCAGTCCATAGCGGACGGCTCAATGAAAACCCTGGCTCAACTGTGCTCGAACATTGAAGATCTCAATTTGAATGACTGCAAAAAAGTAGGTATAACACAGGTAGTAGTCAGGGTTGCCAACTTCTCAACATTGATTTACCGTACCGCGCCGTAGATTTTTACCGTTAAAAAATGTTTAATAAATAAACATTTATAAACCTCTGTTGACGTATAAGGGGGGAACATGAGCATGTTCCCCCATTATACAGGGTGACTCAGAAATAAGTGCAAATATTTTCAGAATTGGTAGACCTCGATAAAATAAACATATTTTCTCTATGCCGTTTTTCACATAAGTCGAAAATAACGGAGTTATTTTGCTTTGAAAATTTATATAAATCGATTTTTTTTTGATAAAATTTTGAGAATCGCTGGATCTTTTGGTTTTTTTTCTTGTCATTTTAATCAAGGGTTTAATCTAGGTTTAATGCAATATGCCATTATTATCAAGATACTAAGCTTTTTAAATAAAAATTAAAAAAAAATCCAAATTTTTTTTTTCGAAAAAAATTTCATAAGACTCACCTTGTATATTAATAGAAAAAATTATTATAAAAAGATTATAAAACGGTTAAACAGTTATTAATAGACACATTTGATCATCGAAACTAATGTCGTCATCCGCATCTGAGGTCTCGTGACTCGTGACCATCTAATCTTGAGATGAAGTACTAGGAGCACGTGTAAATTTCTTATTCTTATAAAGCTGGGTTTTGGTCACTCTATTCACCATATCCCAAAGATTATACCTGGCCATACCCTATTCGAAAAAAAATATTTAAATAATTTTTTCGGGGAACTGCAGATTGGCATATACCACAGCTTACACACTGTACTTACGAAATACGGTTCCCGGTTACGTGTAGTTCTGCTTCTCATTCATAGATAGCTCTCGTAATGAAATTAATTACATTTACTCTATTAATAACTCTATTAATAAGTACTGTTGATCACAAAATAAAACAAACTCGTGGCTTTTTCTGCTCAAAATACCGTAAATTTACGCGTACGAAACCGTAAATACCGTACTTTTATGTACGGTAATAAGTTTGTACCGTATATCGCACATTAACAGAAATTACCGTACAAATACGGTAATTACCGTACGGTTGGCAACCCTGGTAGTAGTATAGATAAATAATTTAGTTTTGTTGATTGCATAGTCATTGAACATTTATTAAAGAATATTATGCGCGCTAAAAGTCTCGTCTTTTATCAAAATCTGGTCCGTATATGGGGCTGCGCCACAGACGGACCCTTTTTTGATACGAGACTTCTAGAGCGTATAATATTCTTTGCTTGTATATACAGATAACCGACTCGACATGCAACGTCCTCTCGCGACACTGTTCCAAACTGCAAAAACTGAATCTGGACGGCTGTTCTGTTATTACAGACCACGCCCTAAAAGCTTTGAGCGACGGATGTCCAAACTTGACCCATATCAACGTCAGTTGGTGCGGAAACGTCACAGAAAATGGGGTGGAAGCGTTGGCAAGAGGTGAGAGAAGTTTCTTTGTTATGCGAGATTAGTATTAGTGATTTATTATCCTTAAATTGAAAATTTGGATTTCTACATAAAAAAATATTTTCAGCTATACAGTGTTGCATTGTTTGAAAAGTGGTAGCATTTTTGTTATTTTAAATGGAACACCCAGTATATTATTACATTTTGGTTAGGCACTACTTTCATATCTCTTAATTTTTCATACATAACATAACATTCGACAAAAACATGGTCTTGAATCTTGAATGGTCGAATGTTTTCTTCTTTAGATTAAGATACTATACAGAGTGGTCCGAATTGTATTCCGGAAACTTCGCCAGCATATTCTGCAGATAAAAATAAGTAAAAATGTTCGTATAAATGTATGTCCTAAAATGCTTAGTTCCGGAGATACAGGGTGTACAAGTTTCATTTTTATTTTGATTTTTTCCAAATAATTTCTGAAGTAATGTTAATATTTAGATGAAAATTGGTGTCTGGGAACTTTTTGACATGATAAATTTGATTTTTATGTCAATATGATTTCTATTTGTAGGGGGCGCCACCTACATATTTAACTGTTTTGAAGAGTGGTAACTTTTCGTCCGTATCTGTTTAAAATTACAGGGCTGTAAAAATATACAGTTCCGTGATTTTCACTTAAAAAATCTCTCTTGGTAAAAATCGCTACGAGCAACCGTTCTCAAGATATTGTTACGTTTTTCGTCGGTTCCGTGTGGATAGAAAGTCACAATTTATTTAAACACTATTTATTTAACACTAATTAACAAAAACAATAACGATAAAAGACTTATAGAACTATTTACAAACGATTTATAACTAAGAATTTATTTTGAATTTTAGCGCGTCAACTGTACTTGTCTATTTATAACTGCTCTCTTTAGGCCACAGCCGCCGGCTTTTATACCTACAGCTAAAGGTCTCTAGAATAGTCCATAGATCGTTAGGTGCATAGAAGAGAAGGTTGGATTGTTCTCGTATGTACTACTCCATTCCAGTAGAACTCGATACTTCTCGAATCTTCGAATGAATCATTATGGTGTCTATTCTTTAATGCGATGTTAAGGTCATCCGAGGGCGGGCCATATTGTTAGGTTACGTCGAGTCCACACCGGTCCGCAACACTGCCCCCTTCTTAGGTACATGCTCGTCCCGAGATGTACACGGTGAATGAAGGATTTGCAAAGCTGGCTCCTGGTACATTGCGAAGTCTGGTAGAAATAACAGTCTACAATTTTCTCTCCCGATCTCAGCTTTGGGTTGTAGCAGCAAACAAGGATCTCGATTCCCGTAAATCTGAACAAGACTTCAATCATGTTCCGGATTGTACGCCAACTCAAACCATCGAGTCCACACGCCAGCTTCGGATGGCTAATCGTGTAATGTTGTTGTTTAGCAAAGGCTTCTCTGGAGTTCAATCAGGGTCTTCCAGAGATTGAGATAAGTCGGCTTACTCGGCGACCATTCCTTAGTGACCAGGTAGAAGATGTGTCTTGCTTGACCATGTGCATTGTCGGTTAGCCTAAAGACGCTTCAAACCTCTGGATCCTGTCGGCGTAGTTCTCCGACACGCCCAAACTTCTCATTGAACGTCGCAGCGATTCCTCTGGACATCCGCAAATCTCGGGCCACACAATGAGCGAGCGAATAATCAGGAGGCACGGAAAAGAGGTCTCGTTGATCTTCTTTGGTTACACCATAGCGAGCCTTCTCACTGCTGTTGTATCGGGCCATGAAATCGTCAAAGGACATCTCCGAGTCAGGAGGATCAAAGCTGCAGGTTCTCACGGTCCCAGCACGATCTTCTATTTCGCCTTGGTAGCGGCCCAAACGGTTGAAATGGACTACCCTCGGTTTTCCTTTTGGCAATTTTCTGATACGGTATACGACGTCATTAATCCTATCCATGACTTCGTATGGCCCTTCCCACGAGGATTGTAGCTTCGGAGATAACCCACGACGTCTCTGCGGGTTATATAGCCACACCAACTTCCCTGGTTGGTATCCTCCATGCTCAGCTTGAATGTCGTAGTGCGTACCCTCTTCATTCGGTCACTAGCACTTTGAATATTTAGGCGGACTCGCTGATGGATGTCGTCCATTCTTTGATGTAGTGTGTGGATATAATCTTCTCCGGCGACTTCTTCTCCCGGTCGGCAACCAAATTTCAGATCACAAGGTAGGCGCACTTCCCGTCCCATAACGATGCTGGGTGGAGTTTGCCCTGTAGATTCTTGGACGGATGAACGGTAGGCCAACAGGAACAGGTGAAGAAATTTGGCCCAGTCTCTTTGGTGGTCAAAAACTACTTTGGCCAGATAACGGTTGATAGTTCTGTTCATGCGTTCAACCCACAGGGGAACTGTTTACATTTTATGCGAATGCCAACATCCTATTGTTATTGTTTGTTATGTTGCCAAGTCTACCGGAGATTTGTCAAAGCCTTTGTTTATTTTTAATTTTGTATACGTATACTTTGGGGAAATCTTAAGAAAATAATAATATAATTAGAGCTTACTACATTTGAAAATTTCGATATTTATAATTTTATTTAGTACTTAATAAGATTCAAGTCAAAGATTACAAGAAATATTTGTAAATTTCGTCATTTTTACATCAACCGTTATGATTAATTTTTAATCTGGCAACGCCGCTCTGTTGTTATAGTATTTTCTATAGTAGGGGAATTGGACCAATTGGACGTGGTCAACAGTGTCAATAAACAGCTGATTGGCAAGATCAGCTTTTATTTTTCCATATTTCTTAACTATTAATAAACTATTAGTGTATAATTGTTTCATTTTATATAAAGGACCAAAATTAGCATTTAAAATGGGTCTACACTGGGAGATGTGTAAGAATTAAAGAATTTAAACATCGTGAAGTGTCATTTCAAAAGTAAGTACTGTTCTGTGGTAATGCCGCATTTCCTTTTATTTACCTAATTGTTAATATTTGTTTTATAATATAATATATTATGTATATTATAAGAAGTAATATTTATATTTTTGTTACAATATTGTCCGAATCAAAATCGTATAGTTGTATTTAATTATGAATACAAATAATTGGTATGTTTACATAAATTATAATTGGTATGTTTACATTTATAAAAAATAATGCCTATTTACGTTTTGTATTACTAAGATAAATATTTTATTTCAGATTTCTAAAAGATAGTGAGAGAAAAATTAAATGGTTTTCCCTGTTAAGATTTATTCATAGCATGATATTAAAAAGTCGAGCAAAAGAGAGCTCAAAAACAGCTGATTGTAAGGAATTGAAGAAAATATTTAAAAACTGATGAATTTTCACAGCCATTTATGTCGCGATTTATGGTGTTTCAACTGTTTTAACATCACCTAGGAAATTAACATTAAGACTGCATTAAGATATTAGGATCCTGCAGATAACTAGATAAGAAGTATGATCTTGTTAGCATACCTATTCCGTCATAATATGTAAGTACATATATATTTACAGTTTATTTTTTTAGTATAAAATATTACTATATACTAATATGTATACACAGATTCAAAGTGTACATGGTGGTGCCTTTCATACAATACGAAGGTTTCAAGGATTTTTGTTGGAAGTTTGTATTGAAATGAAATTTTGAGAACATATGGAGGGTTCAGAAGTCAATCAAGTTAAGGGTGGCTGCAACGATGTCCCATAATCCTGCGGTTAAAACATATCAGCTAGTTTTTATATATAAACACCAATTGTTTTGTTTTAACAGCAGGATTACGGGACGTCGTTGCAGCCACCCTGTCAGTCATACAAATTCACTTTCATTTCCCTTGAAGCCTTCACGTCCTATGAGAGGCGCCACCTTATATATAGATTTGTATATATTATATTAATATTATTTTACTAAAATTACACAATAGTTGTATAAGATCTCACCACCAAAAAAAAAGTATTAGGGTTGGCTTTGAAAGCAAGATTTATGTCATTCTATAAAATGTAAATTTATATGGTGAATGTCATTGATTGTCAATTTTATTTTTATTTTGCTCACAATGTATTCTCAATGTAGATATTTATATTCACCAACTTCATGTTTATATTTTCTTTTAGGAAGTGAAGATATTCATGGTGTGGAAGTTGTTACTTTAATTACATAGTGCATATGAAATTGGTCCTTTACATCACATTTAAATCGACGTAATGCTACTATGCAAAATAGTTGAGAGATGTGAACCCTAGGGAGAGCTACAGAAATACTTTTGTTGAGAGACAAGTTATGATAGTGATTAGAATCGCATATTCTAGACTTTTACTTGTTTGTGTATAAAAATCAATATATTTTTGAGTTTTGCATATTTAATCATGGCATAGTACAGGACTCAAGTCATATTTAATATCGGGTAGATATAATATCAGATACCTACAAAGAAATGACACTTAATATAAATATCTACAATAATATATCAGAGAATTTAAAAAGAAAATCACTTTCTATTTCATGTTTTCATTATTAACTTTTGGTTAAGATAATTATGCTTCAGCTCTACACTTTGTAAAATATTATAATATTGTACTTTTTGCAACAGATATTTCGATAATTCGACATTATCAAAAAAAATCGGCATCAGCCATGGCTATAAAATGAAGATCGCTGTTATTTTATATGTAAAATTATATGGGGAATGTCATCGATCATCATTTCCAAGCCAACTGGACGCCGTTTTTTTTTTGATCATACAGTATTATGTCTTATTATTCATATTTTATAAAACTAGAAATTTATGATATATACTAATTATTATACATACTAATTTTGTAATATTTAATAATTATGTAATAAGTTAGTAGTTATTAGTAGTAATAAGTTAATAAACCATACGATCGAAAAAAAACGGCCTCAAAGGCGACTGGGGAATGAAAATATGATAATTTCAGCGTGGTCAAGCCCTAGACGACATTTTCTTGGCTCAAACTATTTTTTAAAGGCGCTCTAAGGTAATGTAATTAATTTTTATATTAAATAAAAATAATTTTTAAATGGTGTAGTTTAAGATTGACCTCGCTAAATTATCAATCGTCATTCCCAGCCGTCTTTCACGCCGTTTTTTTTAGATTATTTGCTATAACTATGTTATTTGTTATGCAAATATGTTAACACAAAAAGCCAATGAGAAATTGGTTTCTGCTTGGATCCTTACAGTAGCATTTAACTAAATATATATTTTTTTTCAGGCTACAATATTTTATTTAATATGAACCTGTAAATGTAGTAAGAATATTATACATATATTTTTTACTTAGTCCCTAAATATATATTTAAAATACAACACTTGTTTTTTTTATTAATATCGTGTTATGATTAATACCTAATTAATGTAAAATTATATGGTATGTAAATATCCTTACATTGAGAATTCGTTTGGTCAAAATATTAGTCATAACAAGAATTTATTTTGTCATGAGTTTTTAGCCCAGAATCATATAAAATAAATGAATTTTAAAACTACAGAACATTGTTTTTTTTTGTTTTTGTGCTAATATTTCCAATTAAAATTACCGAATATATTTTACGGTTTAGGTAACCAAACCTATCGTTGTTTATTATGGTATAACTGGTCTGAAAGCTCCATGCTAACAGAAAAGATGAATTTTGTACTTTTTCATTATACTGTTGCGAGCCGGTGTGGACTCGACCTAACCTCACAATATGGCCCGCCCTCGGATGACCTTAACATCGCATAGACACCGCAATGATTCATTCGTTCGAGAAGAATCGAGACCCACTAGAATGGACGCGTACATACGAGAACATTCGAAAACCTTCTCTATGCGCCTAACGATCTATTGACTATTCTAGATTTCTTTTGCTGTAGGTATAAAAGCCGGCGGCAGTGGCCTAGAGGGGGCAGTTATAAATAGACAGTTGACGCGCTAAAATTCAAAATAAATTCTTAGTTATAAATCGTTTTTAAATAGTTCTATAAGTCTTTTATCGTTATTATTTTTGTGCGTTAGTGTTAAATAAATAGTGTTTAAATAAATTGTGCTTTCTATCCACACGGAACCGACGAAAAACGTAACAATTGGTGTCAAGAAGTGTGGCGTGTGTGATAGACTAGAAGAATAAAAAAGACTGACCATGGCTCTGAAAAAAATTGTTGAAAGACTTAGAAAGTGTCGAACTGAAATGCATATTGGAAGAGAGAGAGTGCGAGACAGATGGAAAGAAAAGCATTTTGCAAGCCAGACTGAGAGACGTTTTGGTGGAGGAAGGTGAGGATCCTGAAACATTTTGCTTTGAGTTGGAAGGTGACCTTGACTCGTCCTTACAAAAATTAGAAGATAAAATTACGAAAAATTCCCGGGAATTACAGAGACAATTTAAACGACAACTTGAACAATTTGAATAGTAAAATGATTAACTTGGAAGTTAATTTAGAAGAAGAAAATCAGTGATAAAATTAATATTTTGGAAGATAAGATCGCAGAAAATTCTAAAGACATACAGGCCAGCTTTAATAATAAAATACTTAATTTAGAAGAAAAGATAACAGAAAATTCCAGGGAATTAGAAGAGAAAAGATTATAGAGAATTCTGCGGAGCTACAAGACAAAATAACACAAATTGAGGACGATGTAAATAAAAAATCGAAATTTTAAAAACAAGAAATAGAAAAGGCCAATTCACCAAAATGTCAAGAAACATCAGGAGGCACCGAAACTAGTCGAAAATAAGTATATCTCAAAGTCAGTTATTAAGCCTCCACAGTTTGACGGAAAAACCCTTGGGCCAATTATTTTTTGCCAGTTTGAGGCCGCTGTGAGAGCGAACGGATGGACAATCGCTGAAAAGGCTACCGCTTTGACTGTCGCACTGCGAGTGAGATGCGACTGATATTCTGCATGACATTGTCACCATCGGAACAGGGAGATTATCAGCAATTGGTACGACATTTAGAAATGAGGTACGGCCAAGCTCATTTGGAACATGTCTATCATTCCCAAGCTAAAATCGCATTCAAAAAGTCAAATGAGTCTCTGCAGGAGTTTGAAGCCGACGTAGCCCGCCTCGTTCGCCTTGCGTACACTGCTACGCCAGAGAATGTTATGGAGCGGTTGGCAGTACAGGCATTCTCCGACGGCTTACGTGACAACGAGAGACAAGACAAGCACTTCTCTAGCCCACCCAACGCACTTGGTGGATGCTTTAGCACGTGCCCTAGAATTTGAGGCCGCGAAACAAAGTTCTCGGTCTTTAGGAAAGAGTACGGACCATCGACGAATGTTCCGACGAATCCGTGGAAGGGATTGTTCGGAAGGTAATGGACCAGTACATGGGCAAGAAGGGACCGATTCGTTGCTGGAACTGCGGACAGGTGGGACACGTGCGAAGCCGTTGTAAGGAAGAACGAAGAACCGGCTTCGTCGAGGTCGGAAAACTACTAAAGGAAATGAAGGGGCACACGTCGACCTGTACCCAACATGCCCCAACGAAAACTGCTCAAGTCGCCTCGCTACAACACAAATTCAACAGCATTTTTGTGGATGGTTTTGTTGATGGAGAGTTCGGACCATGCTGTTGGATACAGGTGCGACGAAAACTATCATCAGACCGGACATTCTTAAAACATCGAAGAAGGTTAAAAAAAACAACACAATGGCGACTACGTACTGCCACGGGGGCTCCGCTGCTGTCCATGGAAGTAAACCTTAATTTTGTTATTGGGAGCACCAGTTTTGAACATCCAGTGTTAGTAGCAGATATCAGATGAACTTATTCTCGGAATGGACATCATGACCACTAGAGGTTTTGAGCTAAACCTCAAACAAGGAATTTTGAAAATAAATGAAGAAGAAGTGGTTCTGCATCGAAAATGTGAGGAGACGCTTCGCGTGGTGGTAGCAGAAGATGTTTCGATCCCTGAGCGCTGTGAGATATTTTTGGATGGTTGCCTAGAAGGTAAAATGAATAATGGGAGTATTATTCTGTTGGAGCCAAGGAACCATGACAGCGAAATAGGACGAGGGATCGCTGTTGGAAAAGCCCTGCTACGAGCGAAGAAAACTGTACCGGTGAGAGTAATGAACACGAATTATTATTCTGTATCCTTGAAGAAGGGAACCCTCTTAGGGTACTGTTGTTCGGTCTCCTCAGTCGTTCGAAGCGTGGAAGCCTCCAAAGTTTCGACTTCAAAAATTCCGGACAAAATGGTGAAGGAGTTAGTAAACGTTAAAGGATTATCTCCCGAAAATAGAAGAAAATTGAGAAACCTGATAATCAAGTATCAAGATGTGTTTGATAAAGGAGAAGCAGGACAGAGAGGTCGTACCAATTTAGTACAACACAAAATTGATACCGGAGATGCACGACCAATCAAACAAAATCCGAGAAGACTTCCGCTCGCCAAACGTGAAGAAGCTGATAAAATCCTTCGAGAAATGAAAGAAGAGGGTGTCATCGAACCATCTAACAGCCCGTGGACATCGCCGGTAGTACTAGTAAAGAAGAAAGACGGTACCACCAGGTTCTGTGTTGATTATCGGCAGCTCAATAATGTTACCAAGAAGGATAGTTATCCCCTGCCGAGGATAGACGATACTCTAGACACGCTGGCGGGGTCAACGATATTCTCTACGTTAGATCTGAAGAGTGGATATTGGCAAGTCGACATGGCGCCGAAAGACAGAGAGAAGACAGCGTTCTCGGTGGGCACCGGACTGTGGCAATTTACCGTCATGCCTTTTGGATTGTGCAACGCGCCAGCTACCTTTGAGAGACTAATGGAGTCTGTGTTAAAGGGTCTATCCTGGACTACCTGTTTAGTGTACCTGGATGACATCATAGTGGTTGGGAAATCCTTTGACGATCATCTGAAGAATTTGGAAGAAGTTTTCAAGCGACTAGGGAGCTCTGGTTTGAAACTTGGGACATGTAGTCTCCTCCCAAGGAGTTGCGGTAGATCTACAGAAGACCAAGACAGTGGAAGAGTGGCCAATACCTAAAGATAAACATGAACTACGAAGCTTTTTGGGACTATGCACATATTATCGCCGCTATGTACAGGGTTTCGCCACCATCGCAAAACCATTGACCAGACTTACCGAAGGCGAGAGGCGTTTCTCTTGGGACTCAGATTCTGACGAGGCATTCCGAAAATTGAAGAAGGACCTGACTAGTGCGCCC